TGGACCGCATGGAGACTCAGCAGGGGGTCACCCTTGCTCACATTGAGCGTGAGTGCAGCCGGGCTCGCCGGATGCAGGAGGTCCAACAGCACTTGCTCCAGCAGATACCGGGCAAGCTGCCAGTCTGCAGGACTCGTTGGGAGGATTCCCCACTTCCACCCCAGCCAGCCGGTGACGATGCTTTCATGGAGGACATAAACTTCGACGACCTCAGCGACGAGTAGTGTGTACTCGTCGGCTCTTTGAGTGGTTTTTTTTGTGTGTTTTGAGTACTTTTATTTGCTCCATGTGTGTGCGGAGCCTGAACTGCGTCATTTGTGTGTTTTTCATTTGTTTATTTTTGTCTTGTGCCCATCTAGGCTGACACTTATCCCTAACGCATAGTGTTCTAGTGGTTTTTGTTCGTGATCCTCTCTTGTAGTACCTGGTCCACTTTCCTGTCTGCCTGATGACTGGTTCCATTTCAAGTCCCTCGCCAGTCTGTTTTCCCAGTAACATCGCTCCCCTTATCTTTCCCTCTACTCCATTGAGGGCAATGTTGTGTTCAAGTGTGTGTGTGTGTGGGGGGGGGGTCTCTTTGACTGAATAGATTTTGTGTGCTTGGAGCCTAGTCCACTGTCCAAATCTCAAGATTTGAGGGCTCAAAGTACTGATGTTTGCATGATCATATGGCCAATGTGGTTTATGTGGTGAATCGATTGGCTGTTAACATTGATGCATGGCAACTTGATTGTGACTAGGACAACCGTTAATGATGACTAAGACGTGCAGTAGAGTTTTGTAGGGGTTCACTTTTCAACTGTTTTGCTTACCAACTGTGACTTGGGTTGATCACTTATTTTCTACAATCGTTCATGCATATAGTTCAGGGAATCAGAATGAGAGATTGAGCATATAGGTAGCCATGTGAGATTTGAGCCTGCTCGTTTCTTTCTTGTGCGATAGATCTCTCTTCCATGATGTGTAGCATTTACGTTGCCAATAGTTAGGACGATGGAGGCATAGGACTAGCCCACGACCAAATTGACTGTCCTGGTGTGTCATTCCCCCTAGTCAGCCCCTTTGAGCCATGTGACTTTCCTTCTTTCGGTCTACAATAAAAAATCACTCTTTTGCATCTCTGAGAGGTTCCATAGAGTGGTTTTTGCATGTTCTCTGCTGTTTCTGCTAGAAATAATATGAGGGTTGGAGGTAGTTCTTAAAAGTTGGGCATGTATTTGAAAAATGTGCAGAGGTGGTGGTTCTCTCAAGAAATGAAAAGAAAAAAAAAATGAAAGCAAAAGAGAGCCACTACTAAAAATTTGAATCATGCTCATTAAGTAGTGTTTCTAAGCAGTCTAGCTTAGAAATACTAGCATTATTGTGACCTCTTTCACTCTTGTGCTCTAAAGAATGTGATTAACGCAGAATGGCAGAAAGAAAGTAATTGGTTTGAATAATTGCGACTTTGTTGGTTTTGGAACTGTGGAACCTTGTGCTATGAATTCTTCCACCACCTAAAAGGCATTTTTCCCATGTCCAAGACCCTAGCCAGTCATCTAAACCCGTGTCTAAGACCTCCTGACTAGTTAGTGGTGACACTCGATATGTGAACTCTAGCATTTAGAGGTTGTCGTCATGGTGAAGAGACGCTAGGATTGAGAGAATAAGCATGCACATTTTTCGCATCAAATTGTCCTGACCCCACTGGTCGAGAGTGAGCGATTCATTTCCTTATACTCTTTACATTCTTTATCCCGGTAAGGACCTAGATTGCTCGGTCTTGATTCTAATGTCTTGAGTTTTATGCATGAGGTGACTGTCCTGAATGAGTGGTTGGGTCAAGTCTATATTGGTTGGTGAACAGAAGGGAGACTCTTTCTTTACTCGATTTTGCTGCACTCGAATGTCATCTGTGGTGGTTGTCTAGGTTGCCGTTGAGCTTGTTCATGTGTTGGTGTTTAAAAGCCAATATGATTCACGTGTTTTGTGCCTATATGATATGTCCCCAAAGTTTGCATGGTTAAAATGTTTTGAGCTTACCTTGTGTCTGAATTCGTTTGCTTGGGGACAAGCACACAGTTAAGTGTGGGGAAATTTGATGACTCGATAATTACACATGTTTTGTCCACCATTCTTATACTGTTTGAGGCTCGGATCTCAGGTTTTAAGTCGATTTTACACTAGGTTGTTCTTGTTTATGACATTTCAGGTCCTAATGCGTGAATGAAGGTTTGAACACGAGTTTGGAGTTGATTGGGCGAAAATGGGACGAGCGATGGAGAGCAAAGGAGTTGCACGACCAGTACGGGGAAGTCGCACGGCCGTGCATGGTGGCCGTGCAAGCGAAGATGCGCAGCCAGGGTTTGCACGACCGTGCACGACGTAATTTCCGGTTGTGATGAATTGTGCAAGAAGTCGCACGACCTGACCCTGTTTTCGCACGGCCGTGCACGACTCATTTTCTGCCTGTGATGAATCATGTGAGAAGCTGCACGACCACGCTCTCGGTTTGCATGCGACGTCAATGGCCGTGCACTCCCCTCGCGGAACTAATTCAAACGCTGCGTTTTGGGGTGCACGGGCAGCCAAGGAGGCTGCATGGTCGTGCGGCATGACCGTGCATCGCGGACAACTGCTTTTTAACCCAATTTCGGGTTTTGGAGAGGGAGATGACTTTTTGGAGCAAAAATAGAGTTCTAAAGAGAGAAACTGTGAAGAACAAACCCTAAGAGCTATTTGGAGTGAATTTCTCATCATTGAAGCCCAAATTGCATCCCCAGGAGTGAAGATTGACATCCCAGAGCATATTATTCCCATCTTTATGAGTATGAGTGCTTTGATTTCTGTTTTCCTCTATCTCTCTCTCTATGGAGTAGACCTTTCTCTCACTTGGGTATGAAGAACCCTAGTTTCATGTGTTAGGGATTTGAGTTGTAATGACTTTTGGATTGATATATTGTTTGATTATAATCGATTGAAGTGTGTTTGCTGAGTCAATGAAATCCTGATCAACTTCTTTTGATTTCTGCTGCAACCTAAGATAGATAGAATTAATTTACTACTTTGTAGTGGAATCTGCTTCCAGTAGTGAAGTTATGTGTGTATTGCCTTAACAGTCTATCCCGATGAAGGCTAGTCGTTTGTCGGTTAGTCTATCTAAGAGGGCTTGGTCAGCTTAAGATATTCCAAGTTACTGTCGGATCTTTCGCAGTTTAATCAACAGTAAATCAACCTAAGGAAATTACAACTTGAACCTAACTAAGGAGCTAGAGGGACTCATTCCCGAGTGACTCTTCTCTTGCGGAAACCGGACAATTTACTGTTTTCTTTCTGCTTTACTTTGAACTCACCTACATTCACTTAATCCCGCTAGATAATAGATAATCACGGAGTAGGTAGTACATCTAGGCCCCGGGTTGACATTTATTACTTGATTACACTATACTGCATTTCCATTCTGCGATTACACTTGGTGGCAGTTTGGTGTTGTGTTTTAGCGTGTTAGTAGTCATCACATCACATCACATCCAATCAAGCATGCAAGATACCATTATACATAGTAGGTCACGAGATAAGATACCAAACAAGATACCTCGATGCCAGAGGAGAGCTACCTATCAAGTGAAGTTAAGAAGTTGTCAAGATACCAAGTGGTATGCATGGAAGTAATGATGTCAAGCAAACTACATCAAACACTAAGCATGCAAGGGATGAATGATTATGAAGAAGCGGTTACACCTGATTGCTAGCGCTGCTAATTGACCCTATTAGAGGTCGGGGCTGGCAGGGTCAGTGTGTCGAATCAAATCAATATACCGATTTCTTGAAAATTACATTTGGTACCCAAATTCGTTTTTCTTACAATTTAGTACCAAAACTGTAATTTTTTACAAATAGGTTTGGAAATCTTGATGGTAAAATTACATTTTAGTACCTTTATATTTTTTACCTTGCATTATATTACCTAAACTATTAAAACTATACAAACAGGTCATATGTGTCACTATGAGAAATTTCATATCACTAGTTGTTGCTATGGGTCACAGGTAGGGATGGCAATGGGTCGGGTTGGGTCGGTTTTGCCAAACCCAAACCCATGGGTTTATCCATGAAAAAAACCAGGGGTAAAACCCACTGGGTTTAAAAAACTCAAACCCAACCCAACCCAACCCACTGGGTATCCGCGGGTTCATGGTACCCATAGGTTTTTGTCGTACAAAAATTTACAATAACAAGTTCCTATCAAAATAAAAGTTAAATATCAATCTCTCAATGCAAATTATTCATATACAAAAGGGCTAATACCACTACAACATCCGAACTATGAAGAAAATGCCACTTGTATCATATTCTTTCCAATATTCCATTTTTGTCCCAACCTATAATAGTTTGGTGTCATTTACGTCCTAATGATTTTGCTGACCGTTATAGATAACGGTTGACCAAACGGTCAACCATAAAATGTTGACCATTGGTTGCATGGCACATACGTGGCAGCCACGTATGCGCCACGTCGGCTGTCACATCATATTGTTATTTTTAAATTAAAATTTGATATTATTTCAACAAGTAACAACAATAAATTGATATTAACAAAATGCGAAATTGTTTTTCCCATCTCTTCTCTTCACTCCGTCTCCTTTCTCTCTTTTCCTCTTCTCTCGACTGAAGGTGGTGGGGACGCTGGTGGCCATGACGGCAATGACTGATGACGACGGAGGTGGAGACGACCGCGGCAGCTATCCGACAGCGAAGGCGACGACGACCGTGATGACGACGAGCTTGTCGGAGCTCCAACACCACCATCTCTTTCTCCCTTACAACCTCCACGATGTCTCTCCCATAGTTGTTGATTCTCTTGGGGATTTTTAACAGATGGGAAGGAACCAGATCAGGTCAATGTTGTTTCTAGGAGGTTTCTTCCAGATGTGGCGGTCATTATTCGTAGCTTGCATGGCTCCTCCTCCCCTTAGGCTCCTCCCTCCGCCAGAGCGAGAACGTCCAAATCCTCAAATCCAATGACCCAATTGGGGAAGAGATCCATTGAAACCAAGAAAACCTCAATCGAAAAACCATATTGGAGAAGAGCTTTCAAGAAAGATGGATATGTTCATAGTGGTCGTCATTGGAAGAATTGGGGAAGCCTTTGCTGCAGAATCGCCACCCAGATCCAGTCAATCGAAGAAGCAGTCCGTCAATTCCGAGCCAGAGAAATCGCGGTGGAACTGGGCAGATTCGTGGGATACGAAAAAAATAGGGATGAAAGCTCAATTCTGAAGGTCGAGCCCGAGCCTTCGAGGTTCTTGTGGGGTAGGGAAGTCATCGAAAGGGGAAGTGTCGTCGTAGACGCGATTGATGAGGGTCTCTCGGATCTGGTGAGTGTGTAAGGGGTCGGCGGCGCAGTTGGGCGAGGCTCGAAAGTTGTCGATCTTCGCTGGAAAGGTCAAGGCGGTGGTGGCTGTTGCTGGTGTTGCTAGTCGGGAATCAGAGAGGTTGCCATCGGCGATTAGGATGAGAGGAGAAGATTGCGGCAGGTAAGAGGAAGAGGCAAAGCAGGCTGGGGACGGGGGATTCGGTTAGATGAGATAGGAATTTTAATTTTTTAATGTTTTAATTTTTTTAGTTGTTATTTAATTTTTTTAAAATTTCACGTCATGTAGCACATCAACGCTGACTGGACTTTGTGTTAAAAACTAACGGTCAAAACGAGTCAACTTTAACAGAAAAATAGTCCAGGACATAAATGAAATATTGGAAAGAACAGGACACAAGTGGCATTTTCTTCATAGTTCGGGTGTTGTAGTGGTATTAGCCCTATTTAAAACATCATTTTAGAAAATTCAAGCAAATCACAAATTAACCATACAAATTATTCAACACCAATCTAGAAAACTCAAGAAAATTGAAGCAAATCACAAATTATCCATAAAAAATATGATTAATTGAAAGCTTATTCCTCGTCAATTAAGTTTCTTCTTTCTCCACTCGATAATAAAAAATTAGACATGTCTCCACAAACATAAAGAAGATTAGTTGTTTAGAATATTAAATATACTAGGAAAATTAATTATATGGGTGTGGGCGGGTACTCATGGGGCAGGTTTACCTAAACCCAAACCCAACCCGGTGAATATTGAACAGGTTTAAACCCAAACCCGACCCAAAACCCGTCAACACATAGACTATAGATCAATTCGTTAATAAGCCACTAGTCATGTTGACTTGTTAGCCACACTGTTGAGTCAGTTTGTGAACTCAAAACAAGTCAAGAGTTAAACTCAACGAGCCACCAAATCAAAGTAGCTTGTGATTCTTGCATACTTAACAAAGTTTAGTTTAACTTCAACTCGTTAATAAGCTAGTCAAATTTCAAATGAGTTTTTCCAAGTCGAATGTCAGGCTCGTGACATGTGAGAAAGGTGGTCAACCCATGGGTCGACCTGTTTGTTGACACGTTTTGACCTCGATCCGGTGAGAAAAATGGGTCACACTCATCCACGGGTACCTCGTTGGAGGTCACACCACATCGTTTTTACTTTTGGTTTACAAAATGTGCCTTTTTTTAATTTTCTCTTCGCCTAACTCTATCTTGGAAATTCTAAGTTGAAAATTTAGATATGAAGTCATATATAAATGTGTATGAATTTTCACTATATATTGGATCGAAGTACGACTGTTATTTTAGTGTAATGTTATATATTTTTACTGTTAGATGAGATTTGATATCATTTATAAATATTTGGACTATATAATGACGTTTTTTATATATCTAAACTAAATATATCAATCAAAAGAGTATCCCGATCAGCATCTAAAGCATCAGGGTGGATATACAAGAAGTTTAACGAGGGGATCCCCAATCACACTGCCTGTATGAAGAAAGAAACTTTGTACAACCAGCTTACGGAGAACGGGCGGATGAAACGATGACCTTAACTAAACTAAAGTTCTGAATCTTAAACTAAAACGATGAGACTATTAACCGTCAACCCATTTGCTGGACCGAGCCAATGGGCTAAACACAACATTTCTTGTGAGCGTTTGCAGCCCTTCACACGGAGCTCTTTGGGTTGGGATGAAGCAACCAGCAAAGAAGAGAGTGATTCCTACAACCAGGCCCAGTCCGCTATTTTGGCACCTCGCAGTTGTCACCCGACGCATCCGCCCTGGAATTTTCCCTTCTTTGTTTTCGTCGTTTCTCTTTTTCTGTTTTGGTCAGAGTTTTCGTCATTTCTCTGTCGCCGTATGCTTCCAGCCGCGAGGAGCCGCCTGAGCTAGCAACCAAGAATCGTCTAAGATCCACCAGAAATCGTTGACCAATCCAAGCCTCCACTAATCAACCAACCAGCCAGCCAAGGGGTCCAATTGTCGAGAAATCAAGGAACAGATCCTCTGCATCCAAGCTTCAGAAACTTGAATCGTCAGTCACTTTAGCCATTACTCTGATTCCTACCTGACGGCTTTGCGCTCCCTCGCACCATCTTCACTGAGACCTATCCAAATTCAGAATTCTCCATCTACCGGCTGCGATTCTCGACACCGTTGCATATAGGTTTCAGATCGATTGTGAGTCGATAGGAGATGGTAAAGGAGACTGAATACTACGATGTGCTTGGGGTCAGTCCGACGGCCACCGAGGCCGAGATCAAGAAAGCATATTACATAAAGGTGTGTCTTCGTTGTCTCATTGCAGTTTTCTTTTCTCCGTACCATATCGTATTAGTCTCACGTTTCTACCTCCTTCTCTTATCTGCAGGCACGACAAGTTCATCCAGATAAAAACCCTAATGATCCTCAGGCGGCACAAAATTTCCAGGCAAGTTTTCCCTCACCGAACTTTCATGATGTTATGTGATTGCTGCAGTGCGTTTCTAAGTTTAGCAAGTGGTCTACTGCCGATTCTTAACTTTTGATAGCTTTAGCATAGCGTTCCATGAACTAGAAGTCCCTTACTATGCACCACTTGGGGGTTCGCACCATCCTACGTGATCATTGAACAGCTTTACTGTTCTTTCCTCACATTGCTTCTGGATGAAAGCGTGTGACTAGAGAGACGAATGGTTCAAGTCCACAGTGTTTACGAGTTTTTAGCTCTTGACTGACTGAATGATATGTTAAGTGTTAACATGCTGCTTTTACTCCATTTCACTTTATTAAGCATTGATTTGATTCATTCATCTATTACTAGCTGCTCTAATTCAGTACAAACGCAATGTGTGAACGTTGCCATTTATTTGTAGTTTTCTCGTAGTTTAAAATGTCTGAAACACAGCAGAGAATTGGTTTCTCTTGTTGTGTCCCTCAAAAGATCTGGGAAGAACAAGTAAAATGCTAAATACTCGTTTGTTATTTGAACCATTTATAAAAAATTGCAAGCAGTTGAACCAGCATGGTCAGGTTTAGCAGTTTAATTGTTCAGAAGACCTGTACTTCACTACTCCATTTTATCATTTCCTTTTCTTTTCCGTTCTTATTATGTTGCCCTTTTGATGTGCCTAAGCTGATCTCAATGAGAATAAAATAGCTAGGGTTGCTGGAAATTGAAAGGAATTGGGTAGGTTTGATGGAGTAAGTGGACCATCAATGACATTCCCCGGATCAATTTTGGGTATAATCTCATCTAGGTTCCCATCACCCTTTTCCTGGAAAATCTTATTTTGCTCTTCTATTGCATACAATGCTTCTCCCTTTCCCTTTTGGTGGTATCTTCCTGATTTTTGTGACAATTGCTTTTACTCTACTTAAAACTCAAAATGACCCGCTCTATCTGGTGTACTGAAGTTTAGAACGAATTGAAATTGGTTTTCAGGCTACTCTTGGTTGTCCCTTATTGTGATGTTATGAATTTGGATACAGGTCTTGGGAGAAGCATACCAAGTATTGAGTGATTCTACCCAGAGACAAGCTTATGATGCCTATGGGAAGTCTGGAATTTCAACGTTAGTCTCTTATTCTTGTCTCATATTTGGTAATAGTTTGTTCACGCATCTCATCTTTAACAGCTCAAAATGTTTTGATGAATTTTGTCCTGCATGCTGCTTTTCCTCCATTTCCACTTTCTTTTGTGACGGTTGTTGCATGTTTCTTTCTCATTGCAGTGAAGCGATCATTGATCCTGCAGCAATCTTCGCCATGCTTTTTGGTAGTGAGCTTTTTGAGGATTACATAGGACAGCTCGCCATGGCATCTATGGCGTCAATGGACATTTTCACAGAAGGGGAGCAATTTGATACCAAAAAGTTGCAAGATAAAATGAGGGTAGAATCTATTACCATTAGTTGCATGTTGAGTAATTTTGCCTCTTCTGCACTTCACACGATGTCCTTTCATATGAAATGATGCCCTTCATATTTTTATTAATTTTATTTTCTTTCGAAAAATCAACTGATAAATAGAAGACTATGGAAGATGATTGTTAGGGGTAAGTGATCCTTAACAATTGGAGACATAGTCTTCCTCCCTGGAAATTTTAAGCATCCCCCCACCCCCCCCCCCCCCCCCCCCCCTGTGGAACCTGCTCATGTAAGTTTTTGAAAACTTGCTTCCATGTGATTTTATGTTGGGTCAAGGTTTTATTATTGAAAATTCCTACAGCAACTTGGTCTTTCTTTCCATGTATGTGCATCATCTGAAGGATGCCTGAGTTTGGCAGCTTATGAGGCTACAGCTTTAGGTTCTAGCCGTGAAAAAGAAAAACAGTGGCCCCTGAGGGTTATGAAACTAAAAAATTCATGGCATAGTTCTTGATTTGATAATGTTAATCTATTTCCTATTGTGTGTTGTTGAACCTAATCTGTTTCGAGAATCCTTTGCTAATTTTGTCTAGGTTGCATTTACAAACTGATTGACTACAGGTTGTTCAGAAGGAGAGAGAAGAAAGACTAGCAGAACTACTAAAAAATCGACTCCACCAATACATTCAAGGAAATAAAGAAGAGTTTGTTAAACATGCCAAGTCTGAAGTAACTCGACTTTCCAATGCAGGTAAATTCTGTTTATCTGGGAGGATAATTCTAAGAGTGGTCAGAGCATATGCTGTGCATTTAGTTACCTCAATTGAAATTTTGGCCAATCAAGTTAAATTGAACTTTCATGCCCATCACTTTCAACCCAGTTCTGATAATGTTCACCGGAATACTATTTTGCTTTATCATTGTCAATGGGCACACTTTCGTTGTGTAGTAGACCTTGTGCTATTAAGTTGTTTTCAGGTAGCATGGACTTCAGGTTCCATAATAATAGGAGTCCAAAAACTTAAATTTGGATAAGGGTGACTGGTTTGGGTTTCTGACCAAGCTCTTATTCTTTCAACAACAAGACAAGCTAACCAAATGCCAACCTATTCTAATTTGGCATACTGGGTAGTGCAAAATTGACCTAGATGCACTGGGCGTGCGTTTGGCTTATCATGAAACAAAGTTGTGGCTACTTAAGTTGTTTTCAGGTAGCATGGACTTCAGGTTCCCATGAATAGCTTTTCATGATTTGCTAATTAGGATTATGGGCTTCATGACTCCTATGTAGTTGTATATGTGTTCATCGTTTGTTATGTCTTCTCCAGCTTATGGTGTTGACATGTTGAACACGATTGGCTACATTTATGCAAGACAAGCAGCCAAAGAGTTGGGTAAGAAGGCTATATACTTGGGTGTGCCGTTCGTTGCTGAATGGTTCAGAAACAAAGGGCATTTCATCAAGTCCCAGGTGACTGCAGCAACAGGTTAGTAGAGATGCCATGCCTTGTTGCCAGTTTTTTTCATGATTCCCTGTAGCCGCCCATTCTCCTGAAACAGTATTCACAGGTTGTCAATTTGTCGTAGATTAATAGACTTGTGTGGCCCAGTCTTTTCAAATGGCTTCTCTATTAAAAGGGAAGTCTTTTCATCATCTGGAAATAGGAAGATTAGTAGTTGTGGTGCGAAGCATCTTTTTCTGGTGCTTAATCAACCGGAGAACAAATGGATGCATACTTCCTGGATTCAATCTCATTGTAAATGGCATCAAGTTCACTCGACTAGCTAACCAAACCATTCTGCAGTCTGCATCATATTTTCCTAGGAGTGAAAAATAGGAGGCTTTGGTTTATTTGTTTAAGCCATCTACGAACTACAATCTTAGTTCAGGTAAAAGTGGCGAAACTTTGTGTTTGGTATGCAATGCTAGTTAGTTGATGGAATATAAGATATATTTTAGTAATAACAATGGTAACGATGAAAGAGTAACGGGTGAGATGGTAATAGTTTGTTTATTAATAAACAAACATGGTTTTTTTTTGAAAGGGGGGGGGGGGGGGGGGAGGCGGAGATTAACAATTATGGGTGATATCATACATTTATGGATATACCGTATACGTATTCTGCCTGGTTGATCTCAGGTAACTTAAATATATTTTTAATAAACAAATGAGTAGGGTTTTACCACTAGTATTGAACCTGGAAGTTCCCAGGTTCGAATCCCTTAAGTAGCTACTAACCACAAAAAGTAAACCTATACCGCCTTTATCAAAAATAAAAACATGAGTTATGAGTAGGTACTTACGTTTTTGGCTTATTATCAAATCATTTGCATTGAACTTATGTGTACATCTTTATCATTTGCTTATGAAAGACTTATTATGTCTTGTGCCTGGTTGGCCGCAGGTGCCCTTGCCTTGATCCAATTGCAAGAGGACATGAAAAAGCAGCTCAATGCTGAAGGAAATTATACCGAGGAAGAGCTTGAAGTATACATGCAAACTCATAAGAAGCTAATGATCGACTCCTTATGGAAGCTTAATGTAGCAGACATTGAGGCTACTCTTTCCCATGTTTGCCAGATGGTAGTTTGCCTAGACTTGTTAGATTCTCCATTCTTCAATACTCCAGCAGGTGTCAGGACTCAGGTCCTTCATTCATTAAATGCTCGTGAAATGTTAGGTTCTTCAAGAGAATGGTGTCAGGAAAGAGGAGCTTCGTGCTCGAGCAAAGGGATTGAAGACTCTTGGCAAAGTCTTTCAGGTACGACTTCTCTTTGTTGTTCATGCCCAGTATCTCCTTATGAGACTTGAATGCAACTTAAGAGTAACACAAGCACCCTTGGTATTGTTTCCTAGAGAGTAACGTCGACCAATGGAAGTGAGGGTGAAGCTGATGTAGGCAGTGCCCTGCATAAGTTGCACGGAAGTGACTCAAGCTATGAAGCATTTTCTCCTGGCTCATCCCCCAAGTCTGGAACAACTGAGGGATCTTCTTACAGCTCATTGTTCTCACAGGTATATTTGCTGCCTGTGACTTTCCTCTTCTTTGAGTGCATGAATTTTTACATCATGGAATTTGGGATAATAAGGTTGTATAAATAAGTTTGTTGCATATCTGCGAGGCTATTTGCCTATCTCCCCTTATCTTATGATGATTTAAATGTCATTCTTCATCTGCAAGTGGTTGGTATCGTCAACCTCTTTTTGCAAAACGTTTGTTGGAGGAACTGAGAGATGATCTAATAATGAGTTTGAACTGTCAAATTGGGGACATTGATATATTTAGTAGGAATGAACCGACTATTGTAGAGTTGCTGTTAACTATTGCATTGTGCCTGTGAGGTCCATCGCCTGTAGTGGCATCAAAGCACCTGCATGTAGGTTTAATATGACGTGTCACACTATTGTCTTCCTAATTCACGAATGTAAAGGAGAGGAGTTGAGTAAACAAAAGCGAAGCTATAATCTTGTTGGTCTTGTTTATCTTTTCATGTAGATTTTAGGATGTCTTGTCTAACCTCATTTTTCTCTCTACTGGAAAACTTGGGGGACATTGTAGAGCCCGTACGTGGAGTCTCCACAGGTTGCTGGTGGCCAGTTTAACTACGACTTCCCGAGGCCAACAGCACCACCTGGTGCAAATCGATATTCTTCAGCTGGCGGCCAGGGCACCAGTCATTGAACGTACCAATGGTATATGCTTGCATATCTGTCAATAGTATATATAGCTCAGAAAAGTTGCTGATGCTAATTTCCTGAACTGGCATGCCTTTGTTTTATCCAGCACTGCGAGGGTTTAGCGTGAACAGTGTTGTGCGCCCATTTGAGATCCCAGAAGCTCGATGGCAATAGTCTAGTTGTGTTTTTTTTGCTGGTAATTTGTTTGGCAGTGCATGTATTATTCTATTTGTTTGATTAGCGGATGTATTAATTTAGCGAGTATTCTCTCGAGTTAAATCGCTGCTGTAATATGGTTTTCAAGTTGTGAGCAATGTTGTCTGATTCGTTTTTCCATGTGCCCTTGTTGGGTGGTGTTTTTTTGGCTTCTAGGAAGAATGGTCAACAACATACGTGTGGTTGATAACAAACTATAAGAGGACACTTTTTAAATTGTCTGTATATATATTATTAGCGGCAATGGTTTGTATTGCAGCTTCAAAAGGATTGGTTGCGTATGGCATATATTGCCATCATGTTAAGTGATAATGTCGTATGAAGGTTTGGAAGGCTGGCTGATTATCTTACAATCACCAATTATGATAGACTGCCTGGGAAACTTTCAGAACAAAAATGTGGTGTTTGTTTGAAGGTCCTTGCCAGATCCGGGCTCCTTTGCCTTTGCATAGTGCAACACCGATAATCTTATGATTTCCTCGGAGGAGTGTTACTGTCATGATTCAGTTTGCAGAGTTGAATTGTGACTAGAATGTTGTTATTGCTTATTTGCTCATAACTTATGCAGTTATGCATAGAAAATATTCACGTTGCGGATTATCCTGCGAACCGCAGTTTTGGTCTTTACTTGATTGATTGCGACGACTAGAAACCTGAGTACTGGAACGTATTTGCAGCCTGTGAAAGTCATTTTATCATTCGGTAGAGAGATTAGGGTGACGCTTGAAGCTTCTTGTTTGTTTGTCACAACGAGAAAAACCACAAGATGCAAAAAGGAGGGGAAGGGCGCCGCAGCACATGACACCACCGACACAGTGCTACATTGGAGAGATGCGGTGCGGGGGAGATGGATATGCTGTCTTTGTGCAGCCTAACTCACATGATGTTTTGCCTAATTTGTCACGCTAATTTCATCTGACTGCCCCTGGTCTGTAAATTATTCACAGCTATACCTCATACCTAATATGAAACAAGGAGATACAATGTATTGGCTTGGTTCTTCTTTCCCTTGAATAATCTTTTTTTTACCGCGAGAAAAGGACGGAGAAATTATATTGAAAAAATTGGGAATGGTTTAGGGATTGGGAATTGTCATTCATTTGAGAGGATTGACATTTCCTTTGTTTTAGTTGAACGCTCCCTTTTCTTTCACTTCTTTCGTCGCCGTAACCTCACCGTCTGGAGAGAGCAGCCCAGCAACTCACGCAACCTAGGCTAACGCCGTCTACCCCGCAACAGCACAACCCCAATTGCCTCTGCCTCCTCCTCTCTCTCCCACCTTCCAGATCCTGTCAAGCTTTTCTCTTTCTTTGTCGTCTTTCCTTTTCCTGACGACTCCAGCTTGCCTAGTTGCCTTCCTTCCCTGGCCCAAACCCTCTTTAAACAAATACGAAATTATTTTCTTTTCCTATATTTTGGAATTCAATTCAGTTCAGTTCAATTGAACTCCACACCCCTCGATTAGTCCATCAAAGCAAAGGCACTTTGCTTGTTACCGCTGCCATTTTAAATTCCAAATCCCACCCTCATCTGCCTGCTTGCCACTTCCCTACTCCCTCCAACGGACCTAAATTGTCTGTTTCCCCAGGCCGGGCTTGGTTCTCTCCCGCATCGCATCTTCCGGCCAAGGGTTGGAGAGTTTTTTCTGCTAATTCTAGGGGCTGGGTGGAGAGGTAGATCTGTTAGCGGTTCTACCCTCTTCAGGTTTCGGCGGATCCTAGGTGGGAATTCTCAGCCTTGCGGCGGGGTGCGATGGAGGCCGACGGCAAGAGATCCGCAGTTTCCGATGTCGGAGCGTGGGCCATGAACGTCATCAGCTCCGTCGGCATCATCATGGCCAACAAGCAGCTTATGTCAGCCGGCGGCTATGGCTTCGCCTTCGGTCGGTTCCCCATCACACTTCTATTTTTTCCACCCCTTCTTCTTCTTCTTCTTCTAGTGGAAAGTTTTGATTCATCTACCAGATCTCCATAATCGGCCATTGATCTGTTACCGCTCTGAATCTCTTTTCTTCTTCTTTGAATTCAGCGACCACCTTGACCGGTTTCCACTTCGCGGTCACGGCACTGGTAGGCCTGGTCTCCAATGCCACTGGGTTGTCCGCATCCAAGCATGTCCCCATGTGGGAGCTCCTCTGGTTCTCCATCGTTGCGAATATGTCCATCACTGGCATGAACCTGAGTCTCATGCTCAACTCTGTCGGCTTCTACCAAGTAAGTATGCTTTTCTTTCTTGCTTGCTTTTGATTCCCCCCCGATTGCCTGCCACTTCCTGATATAACCCACTTGGCAGATTTCTAAACTCAGCATGATCCCAGTGGTCTGCGTCATGGAGTGGATCCTTCACAGTAAGCAGTACTCCAAAGAAGTCAAGCTATCCGTTATGGTTGTTGTGGTGGGCGTTGGTGTTTGCACAGTCACTGATGTCAAAGTTAATGCCAAAGGTTTTCTCAGTGCTTGTGTCGCTGTGCTCTGCACATCCTTGCAGCAAATTGTGAGTATTTCCTTTCACCTTCCGTTTCTCTCTTGCCTTGGACTTCCTATCTGTACAACTGTTTTTCTGCCTGCCAAACTGCCGATCATTATCATACAACTGTTTTTTTCTGTATCAAACGGATCAAGTACTGATCTTTTACTCCTGGAATGGATAATTCAGCTCATACATGGGTATAGACCCCAACTTGTAACATTTAGTCCCTTGTTTTGGAATCCTCAAAATGATCACTTGGTCTGTTGACGCATATTTTCTTCCTTGTTTTCATTGGAAAGCAAGGCCTGAAGCTATTAGTTCCTATGTAGTCTGGCTCGCGAAATTCGTTATCATGTCGTCCACCAGGTATGAATGAAATTAGTGTTGATTAGGTTACTGACTTTCAGCAAAAGATCACGCCATGCCTAACATTATAAATACTGATGTCCTTTTCGAGTAGCAACTACTTGCTAGCTAACAATATGACTGTGAAGAGGAACAATCAATTACTGGAAACATTCTAAACCTGAACTTAACAATGCAATGCTGATGCATGGTTATTTGGACTGTAAATATTATTATTAATAGATAAAGTACTTGTCTAGTCTGGATTTGTAAGGCGAATGTTTGGTTTTCGAACTGTATATTTGACAACGTTTTCACTTGTGCGACAGACCATAGGTTCCTTTCAAAAGAAGTACTCTATTGGATCATTTGAGCTGCTGAGCCGGACAGCTCCTATTCAAGCCGTCTCCCTTCTTGTCTTCGGACCTTTTATCGACTATTTCCTTAATGGCAAGTTTATATTCAACTACCAGATGTCGTCTGGAGCCATTGTAAGAACCGTTTCTCCTGCCTTAATTATGTAGCGTACGCTAAATCTGTGTATTAGTCTTGCAGCAACTAAGATTATCTGATCAAAGTAACATATATATGTCTGACTTGTGCAGGTCTTCATACTTCTATCTTGCTCGCTGGCGGTGTTCTGCAACATCAGCCAGTATCTCTGCATTGGTAGATTCTCTGCAGTTTCATTTCAGGTTTTAGGTCACATGAAAACAGTGTGTGTCCTCACATTGGGGTGGCTGCTCTTTGACTCCGAGTTGACTTTCAAGAACATAGCTGGGATGTTAATTGCAGTCCTTGGTATGGTGGTCTATAGTTGGGCAGTGGAGGCCGAAAAGAGTTCCGGCAGCAAGATACAGCACGCCAAGAACAGTCTTACCGAGGAGGAGATCAAACTTTTGAAGGAAGGAGTGGAAAGCACATTGATCAAGGACGTAGAACTTGGCGAGTCCAAAGGGTAGCTCGTAAATAGGGGAAACCAAATTGATTAGCGTTTCGCTGTGATCAGCTGAGACTTGCTCGCTGAAAATCTCAGAAGAAATCATGGTTTGTTTATTTCAAACGATTTGTTCTTTTATTGAGTTGCTTTCCTCTAGTTTTCATTTAAATTATATAGTTGTAATTGCACCGTGCAAAGTGGATAGACCCTGCTACGAGAAGCTGGATAAAGAGAAATGTGAACTTATATTGTTCAGAAGAGATCTAGACAATCACCTCTAGTTTCTTGTGCTCTTTCCTCTTTCATTGCTTGCTTCCATGGCTGGGGATGGTAACCAGTCTGTTCTACTCCAATTCCTTGTAGAAGTTCCTTCGGTCCTTCACATGAAGGTTAAGGAAAGATTGGAGTCGGAGATCCCTAGACAAGCTCTGCTTCGATAGCCTGAATCACAGCATACATTTCTCATGCTTACATGAGATAAAATTGGTCTACAGTGATGTACAAAGTTAATGGCAGGTGGAGATATATGAAGTTCAGAAGATTATAAAGATGACTGAAAAGGCTTGTTCGGATTTCTCTGGAGTAGTGAAGCAGCGGAACAAGGCAAAAGTTAGTTGGCAGTGGATTGCTCATAGCTCTGCCTAGAGGGGAAGGAGAGCTAGGAGCTTGAAGATGGCTTGTCTCACACGCCATCTTTGGGCGTTTCTCTCTGGTTCTTCTTCCCGGTTTTCGTTGGTTGAAGACGACGGTGTTGTAATGAGAACAAAACAAGGGCGCACTCAGGTACTTTGGCGAATAGCTTATATCTAGAGTAACTTCGTGGCTCCGACTAGGGGAAAAGGGTGCGGTCCGGGCAGGATCAGAGCATATATACTGTCTGCAGTTTAGAACGAGAAGGTAGAACATATATCATGGATTAGATCATATATTAATACATATATCATGGATTAGATCAGGTCTATACGGTGCAATCCAATATGATTTGGACTAGGGATGTCAATCCAACCCGTAATCATGGGTACTCTATTCAACCGTAACCGGTCAACGAGGGTAATTACCCGCTTTGACGGGTTAAGGGGCGGGTACGGTTAATACCCGGTTTCAAAATAAAGGGTAAGGTACGGGTATGGTAATCGATAATACCCACCCCGCTAACCAAATGGTCAATTTCTCTTGAGAAATTTAGTTTAGCTACCATTATTCATGATGAAGATGTAGACGATTATTATGTTTGTGTGGATTGTAGAAGCAAGAACAATTATTATGTTTTTTGTTGTTTTTATTTTGTGGATTGTTGAAGCTAGAACAATTAGAAGTATTGAGAATTTTTAATGGACAACAATATGTATGTGCATATATGTGTATAAGTTCATAGCTTAGGATTCGTACACATGGTTACCCGAATACCCGTGGTTACCCGGTGGGTAGGGTATGGTTATATAATTTTCATACCCAGTGGTTATTTGGTCGGGTATTTTAGAAGGCTCTACCCGGCGGGTTAGGAGTTGGTATAGGGTAAACCCGCACCCGACCCTACCCATTTCCATCCCTAATTTGGACCAGATAGATCATGTTCAACAAAACTTCACTCTTCTGACTCCCTCCAATTTTCTCCGGTATTCGTAAAAATAAAAAGGTCAGTGATCAACATCCTAGTGAAGAAGAAGATTAATAACCATAATTAACCCACCAAAAAATAAGAAGGGATAAGTCCGGTAAGTCCGGTATTCGTAAAAATAAAAAGTTCAGTGATTAATATCCTAATGAAAAACAAGATTAATAACCATAATTAACCCACCAAAAAAAAAGAAGGGATAAGTGGACTGGTTTATTTATTTATTAATCCTACTCTAATCTCCACTACTCTATCTAGTATCCACTAAAAATAGAATATTTTTTTATGGTAAAAAATAGAATATTTAATAAATAGCTTCGTCTCCCTCTTCTTCTTTGTGCTACCGCTTCTCTTTCTCTCCTGGTGGTCCAGAAGGTTCTTGCTCTCATTCTCCACTGTGACAAAGTCAATGTCGTTTTGAATCACTAAGTTGGCCACTTCGCTCGTCAGAATTTCCTTATCTCATGAACATAAATAATTTTTGTTATGCATTTCAATATTATCGACTCTGTAGTCTAGACATGGCCAGTAGAGATGATTTTTCCATATTTTCCTGATCTTGTGTAGTTATTTCATTAGGTGATAACACAAAAGGGATCACTTAAGTAGTTTGTTGGTTTTGAGTTAGATGAAGAATCAATAGATTTGTCGTGCTTGTACGGAAATCTATAATAGGAAGATTAGACTTTTGCTCGCCATGATCGGATTGATCAGGCTCGCAGTTTGTTCTTCCAAATGCGGAAATGGAGGTTTGGTGATGTTTTGGTTTAGATTAGTGGGTAGTGCGTCACGATCTGTCATGATTAATTGCAGTTTCTCGCTGTCTAGACTGCTTAACCACACACTAAAAGATGAGACCACAAACCAGACTAGACCATGATTATGGTCTTACGGTCCGGACCAAACCGTGCGGTCTGGTCTAAATCGTGATTTTTTTTTATATGATTTGCTCTGGATTCGTGACTCGCACGAAACTACATCACACTTAAACCCCAATTAGAGCCCAAGTTTTTAAACTCTAATCGGGTGCAGTATAAGGCAAGTATTTAGATATCGACCCGGGCCGGTCCATCTATCCCTACTTCCATTGTTCAAATAATTATCTAGCAACTAAACTTTGGTTTACAAGGTTTGCTAATTGAAATGAAAGAAAGCAAAGGTAATTTAGTTTGAAAACTCTTTTGTGGGAAAGTCACTCGGGTTTCGCTTCCCCCTAACCGCTACCATGCTATGTGGATTGGTCGATTGCCTTGGGCACGTTAATCGTGAATGCAGAGGAAAGCGTATGTGGTCGGAGACCACAGTCTCAATTGCTAAACCGAGGTGAGGATGAAAGGCCGTGTCACTCGACCCTCTCGGTTTAGACAATCGGTAATCGGCTTACTTCCTCACTCAACTTGAAGGTCAGACAATTTAACCACGATTAATCGACTTGTTTAATTAAATATTGAGGGTTGCCCTAACTCAACCTAGTTTAGGTGGCTTAGAAAACGGAAGGAAAACCAACTCGATTGAGTCTCCCTTGAAAGGGGGATTTTCCTCTCTAAACTAGGATAAGGTGGCAAATTAGATTACTGGCACCTAAATGCACAAACTTAGTGGGTGATAAGCAGAATTATGCACAATCCCTAGGATGCTAAGCACAAAACATGCACAACCCCTAAGTTGCTAAGCACAAGCATGCATAATCATGGTGAAAAATGCCTCAAACATTGAATTGAACAATACCCAATATCAATCATTCAAACCACATACAAGAAAACTACATGGTAGAGTTAGGGTTTCACTACACCCAAGTGAAAGGAGGTCTACTCCATGATAGAAGTGGGAAGAACAAAAGGGAAAAAGGTGGAAACCATCTTTTGGGGATGCCTCCTCTCTTCTTGACCCTTGAGCTGAGATCTCCTTGGGAAAATCTTCCCAAAATCTGCCTTGAAGCCAAACCCTAACCTTCTTCTTCCCTTTGGTTCTGTTTCTCTCACTAGAATGCTGAAGAAGGTGTTTCTCTCACAAAAGTGGGCTCTCCCTCTCTCCTCCTTGCAACTCAGCTTTGAAACCCGAGAAGAGCTGAGTTCACGGCATGAGTTCACGGCCGTGAACCATTAAACGCGTCCGTGAACTCAGTGCAAACGCTAAATCGCTCCGCATCGCTCACGTCAGTTCACGGGCAACTGCTTGTGTTCACGGTCTTAGTGACCGTGAACTCACCTTGCGTCAATAACCTTCACATTGGCTTTGGACGCCTCACGATTCACGGTCAAGTCTCCTTCTTCACGGTCTTGCATGACCTTGAACTCCTTCAGTTAACCGTGAACAAGCGCTTTTTCACCTCTTCTCTCGGTTTTTTTATTCTTTTCGCCAATCTTTTGACTCCAAGGCTGGTTTCACCTGTTAAATCCTGGAACACACTCAACACACGAAAAACCTAGCGTAAAACCGACCTTTAAGGAGCGAATTTGGCACAAACATCTAAGTAAAACGGTGGCAAAACATGTACAACTAGGCCCGAATCAATTCGCAACACAAGCTCCAACCATGATGCAGTGAATCTCCAACTTCACTATCATGTTGGCTCTATAGCCTTGATGGCTTTGGTTTACAATGGTGCGGAGTGGTTCATCAACCCAAGCAAGTGCAAAATCTTGGTTAGCTACAAGGTTGGCTCGGGCACGAACTGTGTGTGCGAACAACATCGTTTCCAACTTAACAAAGCAGTAGTGAATATGTGAGGTCATACGGTGGAAGGTAGAGAATGTGGGCAATAAAAAGGCTTAGGGGTTATTCCGATGATCACAAATTAACCAAATACACCCAATTTAACATAATGCGTTAGGAGTAATAACGGTGGCTACTAAAATTTACACCCTTCATTATCTCTATTTCATCTTAATTTTAATTTGACAGTGAAGATTGTGACGCGTTAGGAGTAATCACGGTGGCTACTAAAAAGTACTAAAATCTACACCCTTCATAATCAAGGCTGTGGTGGACGGTTGTGGTTGGAAAAAGTGGGATGAATAAAAATTATAGATCTGATTTTTTCCTGCATTGGTAGTGATTTTTTCGTAGTGGTAGTGTTTTTTTTCGCATTGGTATTGTTTTTCGCATTAGTATTGATTATCATGTAAGCGTATTGCCTTTTTGTGAAATGGTGGTGTTTTTTTTTCTGTAGTGGTAGTGTTTTTCGCATTGGTATTTTTTTTTTGCATTGGTATTGATTATCATGTAATGGTATTGATTTGCATGTATTGATATTGATTAAATCTGCAATGGTATTGGTGTTTTGTGAAATGGTAGTGTTTTATTTCTCGAATGGTATTGGTGTTTTGTGCATTGATAGTGTTTTTTAATGGATTGGTATTGTTTTTTTTGTTGCAGCGGTATTCGCTCGGCTGAACGAAAAAAAGGAAAAGATTAAGAAAAAGAAGGAAGAGAGATCTGACTGTAGATTGTGGAAATGAGAGAAAGATAGAGAAAATTGTAATTAATATATTTTTGTAACTTCCTAAAATATAATTTGTTAAAAACGGCAATTAATAATTTTTTGTCATACCCAATTTGCCCTTAGTAACCACGGTGATTACTATTTTACAGTAATCACCGTAACCTGTCCCCAACCAAATGGGCTTAAGGTCGAGCAAAAGCTAGCTTACAATAATTAACCAAATAAATCACAAATTTAGGCTCATCTTTGGATGAATGAGAGGGCTCAAGATAGGGTGCATAACCCTTGATGTGCATAATTATGAGTAACCAAATCCGGACCCTTCTTTTTAGTGGCTACAGATCTAAGAGTTGTAAATTAAAGACATTTTATTTCCCTTTCTTTTCTTAATCGAATCATATCTTCTTCATTCTAACTCGGATTTCATTTTTTTTTTACAAATGGAACGAGTTCATTGTGCTCTACAAAATTATATCCATTTTAAATATTCTTTGAGAAAAAAAATTCATACCTCTCGTTACCAGCTCCACACCATATGGTATCTCCTTCGTTTTTTAGTCGTTTTCTAAAAATTTTGCACAA